ATAAATCAAAGGCTCATTCACCTGATAGATCCACAATTTATAACAGAGGCACAAGCAGGATTCCGTAGAGGATATTCCACAATAGATCAGTTAGTCTATTTGGAAAATTATTTACAGGAAGGATACAAAAATCGACATCACACTGTCTTTGATATCGAAAAAGCTTTCGACATGACATGGCGTGATGGTATTTTACTACAACTAGAAAAATGGGGTTTTAAAGGCAGTTTACCAAAAGTCATCTCGTCGTTTCTGTCTAATCGCACTTTTCGTGTCAAAATCAATGGGAGCTTGTCTCAAGCTTACGTCCTTGAGAATGGAATTCCACAAGGATCAACATTAAGCTGTACCTTGTTCAACATAGCAATTAATATCTTAGTTAATAACATAGGCACAGACGTGAAATGTTGTCTATATGTGGATGACTTGTGTATATTTGGTAGTGGCAAAACTATTGGTCAAATATCAAGAAAAATGCAACCTATTGTTAATCAAGTTTTGGAAGATGCTGAGGAAACAGGATTTACTTTTTCTATCACCAAAACAAAATGTGTTTGTAACAGAGCATCACATGATAGTCACCGTAATTATAAGATCCTCTTTAAAAATGTTACTGCATACACCGACAGACCCACTATTACCTACTCGTCCACTAGGTATCTGTAAGAGCGCAGGAAATTAATCCAGATTTGTTAACGGAAATATGTAATATAATACCCCACAATAAACCGGAAATTCCCCCTTGGAGAAATTTTCCAATAAATGTTGACACTAGTCTGTTGCAGTATGATAAATATGGCACTAACCCTAAATTAATACTTGCACATTTTAATAATATCATCTCTGGAATGAGGCATCACAATATCATATACACGGATGGTTCTAAAACTGAAGATGGCGTAGGATGTGCAATTGTCGTTAAGGGTGAGCACTATAACTGGCGTCTTCCTGATTTATCATCAGTCTTCTATGCGGAACAATATGCCGTATGGCAAGCGCTGAAGTACTGTGATATGTCACTGGGTTATCGACACTTCTGCATTGTAACAGACTCCTTGTCCGTTATAAAATCGATAGTAAACTGTGACAATGATACGATAACACAATGGTGTCATTCATCTATCGTATACTTAGAAAATCAAGGAAAGCATATTACCTTACTATGGGTCCCCAGTCATGTGGGCATACAGGGTAATGAGGAAGCTGACAAGGTAGCCCTGGAAGCAACCAAACAGGATGCGGTCGATGTACCTGAAATAAAACACAAAGATTTGAAAAATAAATATAATCGTGTAACTGTTTCCAAATGGCAAGATGATTGGGATATGTGTAATACTCACCTTAAAAGCATCAAACCTACCATAGCTAAATGGGATAATCCTGCACTCACTAGAACAGACATATCAAAATTAATTAGATTGAGAATAGGCCATACTGCAGTAACGCATACATACCTACTGAAGGGAGAACCAGTTCCTATATGTGCCAGATGTGGACACGAATTAACGGTAGTACACTTCATTTTTGAATGTGGCCGTTTAGAACTTATAAGAAGCAATTACAACATTAGTGATAATTATCGAGATAATTTTATTAGTATGTCGCGTATAAATAACCTAATGTCGTACTTGAAGGTAATAGACATGTACAATAACATTTAAATTAGCAACAAGAGCTAATGACCATAGCTGTCGAAGCTCAATACAAAAAAAAACAAAAAAAAAAAAAAAAAAAACAAACATGAGACAAAATATTCTGTACCTACCAAATATAAATGATATAGATACACTTGTAAAGGATTTCACATCATTTATCACAAAAGCGGCACATAAATTCGTTCAACAAACCAACCCAAATTCGACCTTTTGCTTTCGGTCGGTAGGTAATATGGTGGAATGATAAATGTAAAGCAGATATAAAAACACATAAACAACATTACACCCAATATAAAAGACATAGAACCGAAGAGAATCTAATCCAGTTCAAGCAAAGTAAGGCTAAAGTACGTAGAACCATCCTAAAAAGCAAAAATTCACTTCATATTTTCCATTAATCCAAACACACCAATAAAGGAAATATGGGACAAAATAAAAACTCTGAAAACCAACCACATATGACATAACCCGGGAAACAACATAAGTCTCTTCATAAATAACATTTCTGATCCACAGGAGATTGCTGAAACACTGGCAAAATACCTTTCAAGAAAATTCCAGCAACACCCAATATGACCATGATTTCCTAGCACACAGGTAGGCTCCAAAGTGGTGGACATTATTAACTAGAGTCAATAATGAAACTGGCACGCTGTCACAACCCGAAATTTCGCTCAATAGTCAGGAATCTGAGTATCAAAAAGACGCTTCTAAAATAATGCCACCTGCACTCGAAGATATACATTTTGAAAAATACGTATCTTGTGCAGAATTAGATGCCGATTCTGAATCAAGAAGGCGCTTTGGTCGCAGGGATCGCAAATAGCCCAGAGACTGAGAGACTTGTTATAACTAGACCGCGCGTAACGTAGCTTTTACTATAAACGCCTGTTGTCAAGATAGGATAGGCAACCAACTGTTCATCGCGGAGCAGACGTACGTTCTGCAGCTTGCTTTAGCCATGTTTATTTTAAATTTTAGTAGCAAAAAAAGATAACATATAGCTGTTAACTGTTTTAATCGAATTTATTGGTATTTTATTTGAACTAAATTGGTATATAACTGCCTTCCTCTAGTCCTAATTTGATTTATATGTGTATTTTGGTGTAAATTTTTCTCTTCGAATGGCTCTGATCCATTGGCCCTTTAAACTTTTATCCGTTGAAAACCAGCATATTATTTAAAAATTTATCGACAGAGTACATGTTGATAGGCACAAGTTAACCTAAGTTTATTGGTTTATTCTCAACATAAATTTATCTGTTCACTAATTCGAGCTAATCACGAGAATGATTAATAAACGGAACATCTAAAATAACAGCTTATTTCATTATATTGCATATCATCTCAGGGATTTTTGCCCCGCGGTGCATTGTGTGTTGCATACTGTGTCGACGACACCTTAGATACGTTAAGCGCAGGCTAGTTATAGCAGGTCTCTGGGGGCATATATATAAGAGAAGTATATGGATAACCGCCTATGATTGCAATGTGCAAATTGTTGGCCATAAAAGAGAGCTGCCCTATTCCTTAGTCCTGAACTCTGTATTTATGCGCAAACTCCCCAAGTAAATATTTACTTCTCTCCGCCTACTTTTAAGTAGCGCCAATTTCAAATTTCATAACCTATAACTCGAAAATAGGGTGAAAATGTTATTAAACCATTATTGTGTGCAATTACCATATGTAAACACAACCACGCACCATTCGGAAACTTCACCCAGACTTCTATTCGCTTCATGCAGATTCATATTCACCACATTGGCCCCATTCCACCTGCCGACTCCTATCACTATTGTCTGATCCTGTGATGTCTTTAGATAAGTATACTAGCTGGCCGAGGCCCACCCTCCCAAGACCAATCGCCGCCGAAGCGTTTCTTACCTGTTGACTATATCGCTTCGATTCCCCTACTAGCATCTTCACCGATCAGCGACGACAATTTGAATCTTCCCTTTTTTGTGCCCTCAACATTGTTTTCGGCACACAAGGATTCGGGACCTGCAGTCAATGGCCTACTTGAATGATTTCACTGCCAACTCAAATCAGCGCTCACGTGCCACCCAGTGCGTTCTGGTTCAAGGTACTCCGTATCGTTCTGCTTGGAAACTGTAGCATTTTCACGGAGAACTTTCGAGCTTCCTCAGCGGAGTTTGTTTACGGTTACACCCTTCAACTTCGAAGGCAAACTTTGTAACGATTTAGAAACTTAAATTGCAATTGAAATAATATACCTATAGGGATTATATCTTGAATATAACTTGAAATTGGATAAGTTCGCATCAGCTATAATATAAAGTGATACATTACCAATGTTCAAAGAAACACAATTAAATTAAAGACATTTACTGATTTTAAAATAAAATTAACATTGTCGAGTTGGAAATCTTTTAGGTGTTAAGTGACCCCCATATAACTTCGTGCCCCCATCATGCTTGCGTGCATCCAAATCAATGCAGTCATAGCGGTTAAAATGACGAGAACACAACCTTGTTTTTACATCATCGAATTCCGATAGTTCACATGCTTGCAGTCACCGATTCTTGTTGCTTTTTTCACTTGGGAATCTAATAACAAGTATGGCATAAATGAATTGATTGCAGATAATTGCATTGTAACTTACTTGTGCCATGAAACCGAAGAATCCACTTTCCCACAAGTACCTGCATTTCTTTATTTCTAAGTAATGAACACACTAAAATTGCCAAACATTAGGTATTTCTTTACAATTATTGTGTATCACTTACGTATACTGATTTATATAAGTATGAAAGGCTTCTTTACTATTAAAATTAAACAAAAGTTCAATAACTCATAAACTAAACAAACAATTTAACCTCAATCCGTTATGTCAAACTGGAGTAAATGCTTGGTAAATAACACTACATAATAACACGCAAGCGCATTAGCGCCTAGTTCCCAACTAATGACAGAAGTATATTTCCATCCACTAACGTTGGCGATAGGCGTGTCCACTCGTTTATCCATATACTTCTCTTATTATATATATGTCTGGGGGTCCTCCCTTTGATGTTTGATCACGTGACATTTTTCAAATTTGAGCGGGATCTTGTTTAGTTTTGGAGGGAATAGTCAATCCGGTGACCATTTTTAATTGTTGTCGAGTTGACTTTATTTCCGTGTTCTTGTAGTGTGAAGTTAGCGTAGAACCTGGGGGTTAAGTGCTTGAACGAATCTTGTAACTTTCTATCTACATACCTAGAAAAGAAAACCTAGGGTTAGGTTGATATCTACGAAACCAATGAAACCATAAGCATTTCTAATGTTCAAATAAATCCGTCTTTTTACGTGTGTCTTGCACATTGAGTTAGAAAACTAATGGAGGGAATATAATGGTAGAGGGGGTAAGAATTTTTGTAGACGGAAGTTGCCACATCCAGAGGCCACTCGCGTGGATAGGTTCCAGAGACATGGAGTGGTGGGAGATGGAGGAACGACAAGTGCGCATCCAATAATTTGGGAGACGAAGCCGCCATTTTTACACTGTTTCTGTCAGTTTCTCAGCAGTTTCTCCGTGTGATTTGAAATTTGACGTTCAAGAGCAACTTAACCTCAAAATAATTCCCGGAAAATTTCGTTTATTTCGGCTTTATTCTTTCGTAGTTCACAGTGTCGAGTGCTGGTGCTCTCTAAAGTGTTTAGAAATGACTTGTACAGTGGAAAGCTGCAAAAATATTCGGCGTTTCAAGCCAGAAGGTGTAACGTTCCACAGGTAAGAAACACGTGCTTAAAATCGGATTTTTTGACTCAAAACCTTACCGTTTACTTGGTAATCACATAGTTAATAATTGAGAAATGACGTAACTTTCCAATTCTTCAATACTTGTTAGTAATTGTATTAGTTTATTTCATTTGATTTTAGGTTACCTCGAGACTCCGGCAAGCTCGAACAATGGCTCCATATTTTGGGCAAAGATAATTTATTAGACTTGGAATCCACCAAGTATAAACTAATTTGCTCCAAACATTTCGAAAGAAACTGTTTTATTATAAAAAATGGTAAAAAATACTTGGTTCCCTCCGCTGTTCCATCATTACGTTTATCATCAACACCTTCACGAAGAGAGAAAGAAGGCCTTTCGTCTTCGAATACCTTGCAATCTTCAATTGATTCTTCGAGGGCATCGACTTCTGGAGTTGGGCAAATTTCCGAGTAAGTATGTCGAATAGCGCGAAAGTTTATTATTAATAGATGTATTTTTAATTTTATCGTAGAATAAATAGATTCTCATCGTCAACCGGTAGCAGTTCTAACGCTAGTAGGAAAAGAAGACGTAAAATTTTAATTGTTCAAAGAGATCATTCATATAAGTAAGTGCTTTAGCTTAGTTAACATGTATTATTTCTATAAAACTTTACGAAAATTATGATCGGGGTGTCGTTTAATTCAGGATCTTAACTTTTTGGAAAAAAGATCCAAACTATTAGTAAAGAAAAAAGGGGGACTACATTATAGCGAATTGTTTCGGAATTATTGTGGAATTCCAAATGTGGTTAGAATATAATTGAAGAGGAGGGACTTCCGAATATTTTGAAATTATTTTTTCATATTGAGTTTAAAATGCGGATTATTTTTCCAACTGGGTTTTGTTCTATAGCCTAATAAGCAGGGATTTATTGCCATTTTGATGAAACTGACTACAACTTTTTTTTTTTTCAGAAATTCTGAATTCAATTACTCATTGACACCTTGATCACAATTTTTGGAGAGTTCTCCCAAGAACCTCGAAAAAAGAACATGTTTTATTTCATCCTGGGTTCAAAAATTAATTTTTTTGGACTATTTATAGTACAAAAAGGACATCTTTAAAGTTCTAGTACTTTAATGTTGATTATTAAAGTCCTAGTATTTTAATGTTGACTTTAATTACTTTTTTTTTCATCGCTAAGGAAATGTGACATTGGTTACCGCTTACTTAATTATTACGAATAATTTGCACAAAATTGAAATATCATTTTTCTTATTAATTTTACAGGATGAAATAAAATTTTGTATTTACCGCGAACGAAAAGTGTTTTTAAAAGTACTCACTAGCCATTTCAACTAGTTCGTACTTTGAAAATTCACTTTTCGTCCTTGATAAATAAATTACTATATTAGATTACTTTGAGATTATTCAAGTTTCTTATTCCAATTATTATAGCATTACGCCTGGAATACTGAATGAAAAATTCCGAAACTTGAGAGAACAACAACTAAAATCCCGCAGAAAGCTTTATAAAGCTAAGAAACAAATAAAAAATTTGAACAAGAAAGTCACTTCGCTTCAGGCAATAATTAAGAGCTTAAAAGAGAATAACATGATTTCGGATAGCGCATTGGTCCATTTACAAAAATCTTAAAGTATCTTAAGGTATAAATGCTGATTTTTCCATAATAAATGTGAATAATATTTCTTGAATGCTGCAGGGCTCGTAATGGTTGGAACAATAATCCAACTGCTTTGCAATTTATGTATTCATTCCGTCGTATTCTTCTTTTCACGAAAGTATCTCCAAGAGGCGGTAATTGCAAAGTATTGGATACGACAACTATTCTACATGTCCCGTCAAAAAGCAAATCACGGAAAACATTGGAGATGTATGACGTGTCACTGGCTATGAAATATGGTTTGACAGATGAAGTGGTCATTCAGGATCATGAGTATTACTTCGACATTCCTTTTGCAGACCTTAATGACATTACCACCAATATTATAACTTATATTGGTGGATATGTTGTAAAAATGCCCCGAATGTTTGGAAGAATGCCTGGTGAAAGCAAACCAACTTTCAGGAGTCAATTATATGCTCTTACTACGTAAAAAAAGAGGTGCGTGCATAAAAATGTTTTGAAATGATATATATAATTTGATCATTTTTAGGAGCTCTCCACACTCCAAGCTCGAGTGTTGTAAAAATATGCTGCACAACAGAAATTTATATAAAGAGAATGATGATTATGACGGATGGGGCATTACCCCCGGAAACTGGTTTTTTCGACACTTTCATGGTTGCTGTCGCTCAAAAAACATATGAGTATAACTTGTTTGAAGAATTGGACCACCATTTTTCATGCTTCGCCTTCAGTGAAGAAAATCACAAATTCCTGCTTATTAAATTAATAATAAAAAATTATTTAAAAATACGAATTTTCAGTTTAGGTCGCAGATATACACAAAAAATGTCTGGGCCTCTAGTGCGGCAACAGCTCACTAAATTAATTTTATTCAATCACCAATAAATAATATGTTATTATGAGCCATTAGTTTTATTTATCCCAGAATGTGTTGATTGAAATTTGAATTTCGCGCTTCCAAAGTGTGTAAAAATGGCGGCTGCTTGATTAGCCTCTTCGCGCACCTTGATACGCCATCTCCCACCCTCCATGTCTCTGATAGGTTCCCGTGAATGTACATTTTGACCGACATTATTTGACATAGGAAAACGCGGGCCCTGTCACTGTCAGTTATCCACCAAATTCAAATTTTATTAAATTTGCCATTCCAAAGTAATAATTTCAGATCGGTTTGTGCTCTGGTTTATATAAATAACTAACTGTGGCATAATGTTTTTATCACACGCAATTTTGTGAATTGAGAATGATTAGCTGCGTATCATGCAAAATTTCTCATAAAGGGAAGAAACAAGGCATTTCCTTTCATCGGTAAGACATGTCATTTATTATGTTGTAGGCAAGGTTGTAGGTACCTAGTTTCGTCTGGCCAAGCATTTGATTCCCTCCATTAATTTTCTAACTCAATCGTCTTGCAGTACGCGTTTTTTTGTTTTCTCTTGCAAAGTTGCAAAACTTCTTATCTTGCCAAAGTTCTTCTTGTCTTGTCTTGCAACGCCATGCAAGACAAAAATCACTGTTTGCATTGATTCACTTAACGCTTTTTGTGAGAATCGCTATACGTTACGCCCCTGGTACTTACCGTATTCATTCAATTGTGCTTGGTTTTAGTTACTCATAGACAGAACAAAAATCTGTTCGTAGTATACAAATCATATTTAGAGCAAAAACATTAGGAAAATAAATTAGCTGATGATTCAGTCACCACACGACATTTTACCCTAAAGTACGGTACGCTACTGGCAGCATTCCCACGTTTCCCTTGTCCCGTCCTTCGGTAAGATCTATATTCTTTATTCAATAGTTTGCGCTTGCGCGACTATTACCTGTATCGAAAATGTTGAACTTGAAACGCTTTGTGTACTTCGGGTGCTAAAAGCACCAACCATTTTATGGTTTGTGTATTTTATTTAGTGTTAAAAAAAGAGAACAACAACCATATAATAAACGTGACATTTCAGTGATGGATGATCCTGGAAGAATGATGGGGCACGCGGGAGGCGGGTTAATGCCTCCACAACCGTACGGAATGAACCCTCAGGGCGATGCCCCAACCGGTGGAGAAAATGAACCGCGTAAACAGGACATTGGGGAAATTTTGCAACAAATTATGAATATAACTGATCAAAGTTTGGATGAAGCACAAGCTCGAAAGCACACATTAAATTGCCACCGAATGAAACCGGCTTTGTTTTCGGTCCTTTGCGAGATTAAGGAAAAAACTGTTCTTTCGTTGAGAAATACTCAAGAAGAGGAACCGCCCGATCCTCAACTGATGCGTCTCGACAATATGTTAATTGCCGAAGGAGTTGCCGGACCGGAAAAAGGTGGCGGGGTTGGTGCGGCAACGTCGGCATCAGCTGCTTCACAAGGAGGTCAACCTGACAATGCAATTGAACACTCGGATTATCGTGCAAAATTAGGCCAGATTCGCCAGATATACCACCAGGAATTGGAAAAATACGAACAAGCCTGCAATGAATTTACGACCCACGTCATGAATCTCTTACGTGAACAATCTCGCACAAGACCGATAACTCCGAAGGAAATCGAGCGCATGGTTCAAATTATACATAAAAAATTTAGTTCTATACAAATGCAACTTAAGCAATCGACCTGTGAAGCTGTAATGATTTTACGTTCACGTTTTCTAGATGCCCGTAGAAAGAGAAGAAATTTCAGTAAACAGGCGTCCGAAATATTGAACGAATATTTCTATTCCCATTTGTCAAACCCGTATCCTAGTGAAGAAGCGAAGGAAGAGCTCGCTCGGAAATGCAGCATAACAGTTAGTCAAGTTTCAAATTGGTTTGGTAATAAACGCATCAGGTACAAGAAAAATATAGGTAAAGCACAAGAAGAAGCTAATTTATATGCAGCTAAAAAGGCAGCTGGCGCTTCTCCTTACAGCGGTACCCCCACACCAATGATGTCGCCAGCTCCGCCGCAAGATTCAATGGGTTATTCGATGGCGTCTGCGTATGACCAGAGCTCTGCTTACGACGCCAGCAGCTGTGGTTACGATCCTGGAATGCATCAGGAGTTGTCTCCTTGAATCCGAACGCTGGCATTGAACAATAATACTTAATACGCAAGTATACTACTTCATGTATACCATTACTAAGTATACAATTCATTTATTTTGTATTGTGCATTATGCAACTTAAGATTTTTCCGGCATCTCCTGGAACAGTCAAACCAGTATTTATTTTTATTATTCTACTGTGATACATTAACAGTAAATCGGATCATTTGACTGTCTCATATTTCATACACTTTTACTTGTATGTTTTTATTTTATGACTGAGCCAGTGGGTGTTTTTTAAGCTTAAAAACATAGAGAAGCGTCTATGTTTGTCTAATTAAGTGAAATTGCTTTTATAATAATTTTATGTATTTAATTATTGTAGATGAGAGTAGGTATGTGTTAGATTTGTTTGTCTGTCTGCTTTTAATGAAAATAATTGAAATTCAATACAATCTATCTGAAAGCATTTACAAGCATACTTTATCATCTTCTGAGCCAAACCCAACGTTATGTGAAGTTCTAAACTTATTTGCTACTGAAGTGAACTGATCTAATTAAATAGAACAAGCTTTATCAGTATTTTCACTTAACCTGAGCTTAATTTGATCTGGTTCAGATATTCTCTTGTGTATGTTGACAAAAAAGCATTGCTGTGGGAGTAGTTTAGCTGTATCAGTAATTTTCAAAAGAGTGTAATGTATTTGATTTGAGTAACAGAGCTACTACTTTATTGACCAAATTACTTATAGCGTTTTCGACTTGCTGCCCTCTGTCGGCCGAAATTGACTTTTTTTACTATTGGCGTTTTTTTAGAGAAGGAAAGAGTGATAATGATCGTAAAGTGAAACCCACATTTGTTTGTTATTTCACCGAAAACTAACCTATAATTACCTGTGAAACGATCTACTTTCGAGTGTTTTTTGGCTAACACTGCACTACAATGTACCATTGTCCAATAATGTTTTTAATCGCACACTTCGAGTCTTAAGGATCGCATAATCACGAAAATGAAAAATTAAACAAACTTTGGCTCTGAAAATATGGCCGCCCCAGGCTTCATCGCGCAGCATTGCCCTTGATAGGATATTATCAGTCCTCTTCCTTTCATAGTCTAAGGGCGTTTTCCACTTGTTCAGTCGCTCTGCAAAATTGCGGTCTAAATGCGCATGTTGTAGAATTGTGGTAAAGCTTCAGAGAGCAGAGTTCTGAGCGCTGTACATAACCTTAAAAGTTTCTCTTCAAAACACCTTTTTTCACAAGGTTTTTAATTTTTTGCAATTGATGACTTGTAGTGTATTGACAACTGTGTAAAAGAACGACTGTTTCATTGTCAAAATCGACTTGAAGGTTGTTGTATGTGCCCCTGTAGAACTGCACATGATTACTATTATCACAGTCTACATACAAAGCTATTATTCCTTTCATACTTTCTACTGCTCCAAAGTAGTGCAATTTTTTTATTGCTCCGAGAAAGTGTGTGATAACAATAAGGAGGGTGCCAATGCGTAATACTAATCCATCAGTGGAAAACGCTATTAAGCATGATGTTCTCCGTGCAACATCACTTATTTCCTACAAATAAATATAAATTTAAAAATTGAATGTTAAATGGACTCTAAATCAAACATATTGCTATATTAAGCGTAAAGAGGATAACTGCAATTATTTAAGTTACAGTATTCTAAACCAATAACAAGAATTCATTATCAAAACTTACTCTTGTGGATGAACTAAAAATTCAAATCAAAGCAGTGTATAAATCTGCTCTCATTTAGCCACTTGGGATAATAAAAAGCTTTTGATTTGAGTGCGTGAAGCTCTGGTGCAGTTTGTTCGGAGCAGCTCGTTTTGCAAGTTGTTCATTTTGCACACATTTGAATTGATATTCACAGTACGTAAATAACCACAAAAGTGTTTCAAGCCCCAAGCAAATAGGTGGTGCATGAAGGGACAAGGGAAATCCAATTTCGAGCGCGTCAGAGCTTGAAACTTTCTTAAAAGGAACACAGGGCATCTTGCACGGTACAGCTCAGAGCTCCTCTTTCACTCAAATGGAAAGCAGTAGTTATTAGTTAAGATAGTCAACTTACGAAAACAAGACAAACAAGCAAATCTACTAGTTTAACTTTCTTTTGTAATTACAGTATTACAAACAATTTTAAATTAAATTATTTAAACGGTCTAATATTTTGTTGGAAATCCCAGTACTTGAGTTTTGTATTTGATAAATGTAATTCGAAGCAAAAGTACCCCATATTTGCTAATTTAACTTTGTAGATCCACAAAGTTCGTGCCGATTATCATCACATATCAAATTAGTGATAGTATTTTTTAAGAATTAAAAAAAATGTGCTATTGTTTGCGTTTTGTCCGTCCGGACCCACTTCTGCCGTAAGTAGCCTATACTTTGAAGGTGTGCCAGACGGCCATCAAATTTCGTTGTCTAAAAGGGGGCCCCCTCCCCCACGAATTATTTTCCGAGATGCTGTTTTTGAAAGTAAAACGTGCATAACTTTTACATACGACAACCAATTTGGTCTCGGATTTTGCATACGCATGCCTTTAGTGATGCCAAGTTAAACTTTAGAAAATGGGAGTGGGGGGGTAAATACATGTTCTACCCTTCATGGTATTCTAATGAAAGGTCTCATCGAAATAAATTGGTTTGTACAAACTATAATTTTCCCGTGCGACTTTTTTTCGAATCAGTGAGCGACAGGGCTTGGGGGGGGGGGTTAAACATTAATTTTATCATTGTATTCTACTTAAAGGGTCTCGACGAAACGAACCGTTTTCTACCAACTACTGCCCTTCTTTCTGTCCTCTTATCAAAATACGGGACGGTGGGGGGGGGGGGAGTGGAACTAGGTATATATCCTTCATGGTAGTCTAATAAAAGGTCTCAACGAATGAAATTAATTTCTACCAACCACAGCTCTCCTCCTCTACCTCTTATATCGTGATCGGGTATATTCCCTTATAGGTACCTCAAGAACGGATTGCCGGAAGAAGGTACTCGCAAAGGGCGATTGAGACGTCTCCTAGAAATATATCCATTGATGATGTCAAAACAAAAGTTGTTTCGATTTAAAAAAATGCGCTGCATCTGCACAAGAGTTGTGCAACAATTTATAACAGGCTATCAAAAATGAGTTGCTGTCGAGTCACCTTTGGAAGTTCAAGTTAAATACGATTCCCTCTGTAAACAAAAATTCCAAAGGTGACTCGACAGCAACTCATTTTTACACCCCAAAAAAGGTCTTTATTGTAGTAGCAAACATTACTATATACAATAAGTATGTAAATAATTACGTGTAGAGGCCCAGAAAAGGGATACTAAAAAGGGGTAGAAGCGAAGTTCAGCGCTGCTGCTCATCCACTAAACCAATCTCGTAAGTATGGACAGGGTGTAGCATCTAAGACCCCTCGGATCATAATTCCTTTACAATAAAAGATACCGAATTTAAATGCAACACCCCATAATTTATTTCATGCTACAGGGTGGCCAACTAAGAATGCGAGGTACTGTATCTGAGAATCTATCCATCGTAGAGGCTTGCGGTAAAAAAACTTACTACTAAAATGGCCACGAGCAAAACCTGGAAAATATTTTTAAGTTTCTGAAATGACCGCTAGGGGGCGTAACTGGAATCCAAAGAAGTGATGTTTCTGTGAATTCCGCTATATTAACCTAACAAAAAAATATCCGGTCTTTGAAGTTGACGATAATCTGAACAATTTTTGTTTGACAATTTTTCCTGTATCTCTAAAAATGAAGTGGTGGGGGGTATCCAAAGGTTTCCGTAAAGAACACCCTGTATCTTCGAAACGGCTGAGCCGATTTAAACAAACTCGGGTTAGTTCAAAAGAGCGATTCTTCAGCTACAAATATTATACTATTTGAAGTTTTGTTGGTTTCACATATCACGGCTTGAGGGCTTTTTTCGACATTCCAACAGAAATGGTTAATTTTCTCAAAAAAATTAAATGCATTGGTTCGATTTTTTTTCATGAAAAAGTAGCTAAATGATGCCTAAACAAGTCGCGAAAACAGCATCTCAATATCTTGAGATATATATATTTATATCGTGATGGCCAGCATTTACGGCGGCATTAAAAGCTTCCTTTTTTAAATCGATCCACCTTAGGGCCACAAATTATACTTCAAATATTATAATATTTGTAGCCGAAGAATAACTCTTTTCAATTAACCCGAGTTTGTTAAAATCGGCTCAGTCGTTTCGAAGATACAGGGTGTTCTTACGGAAACCTTTGAATAGCCTCCACCACTTCATTTTTAGAGATACAGGAAAAATTGTCAAACAAAAAAGGTTCAGATTATCGTCAACTTCAAAGACCGGACATTTTATTGTTAGGTTAATATAGCGGAATTCACAGAAACATCACTTTTAGATTCCAAATTGCAGTTACGCCCCCTAGCAGCCATTGCAGAAACTTACAAATATTTTCCAAGTTTTTCTCGTGGCCGTTTTAGTGATAATTTTTTTTCCGCTTGCCTAACTAAATAGTTTCATTACCAGTCTAAAAGCGTAGGTATATCCAGATAAACCTCTCGCCAGAGAAAGATTGCCGGTCATAGAACACTTGATCCCGGTCTACAATCTTATGTTTTTCTAAAGATGTGAGCGACTTCCGCGATAGTATCGTGTCAATGTTGAACAAAAAGACTTTTCGTTCAACATTGGCACGATCCTATTCCGGAAGCCGCTCGCATCTTAATAAGAAAAACATAGATTGTAAATCGACAAACAAAGCTAATCTTGGACACAGCGCCGCCGCTAGGCTTTAGGAGGCCTGAGGCAAAATGCGCCGAAGAGGCCTATGCTAGGTAGGGTAGTTCTCGGGAAAATATGGTAAACACAGATGTGATAACATAAAGGTAAATTTGTGGATGTAAACTGAAATTATGCATAATGTTAGATATGCGTATGTGTCATAAGATGCCCGTTTTTCTATACCTATTGACTAGTGTAAAGCCATAGCTGCACAATGAGCACAAATAAACATTATTATTATAATTATAAAAGTTATATAATAGATAATAGTGTTGTTAGTTATTAGTATTAGTCATTCATATCATCACAACTTCACGTTGCCATGTAAGAGGGTGTCTATTAGGTAATAAAAATAGGATAGTAAGAACGTTACTAAGCGCTTATTACAAATTAGGTACAAACAAGTAGGTAAAGTTAAAAGTACTTACTTACATTAATGTAGGGAAATTGGTCAATAAATGAAGTAAAATCCGTCGAATGGAAAATTGAAAACAATATTAATTAAATAATCACAATCACAAATGTATAATCTTTGTAGGTAGGTACGTACTAGTCTACTGGTAGCAAAGATCATTATTTATAATACACTGGTAGTAAGGTATAAAAATATCTTTATCTCTTTACAGCACGCGCGTTTAACTTGAGCTGAATCTCGCCCCATGCGAATATGATATAAATTGGCTTAAAATATTTGTTTAAATAAAGACCACATTATATAGGAAACTTGATATAGCTGACGACTGAGTGGGAGTGTGAAAACAAAAAGAGGAACTAAATGGTGCAATTTCTGGCGTTTCAGCAATTTTCTTTCATTCAATGAATTATGATATGCTAAGGGTCATTCAAACTTCCGCTGTGGCTGTAACAGAAAGTGTTAAGCGAATGCAAAGAACATTCACCTTGCAAATTGCAATGTACACAAAAACATTTTCTGGCAGTCGTGAAACTTTATTAAATTATTACTGGTAGTTATGGATGTCATTACATCTTCTCAATGGTATTTCAGACACCGGTGCGAGGCCTATCAAGCGCGAGGCCTAAGTTCGATGCCTTAGTCGCCTTACCCTTCCGGCGCCGCT